TAACAAATAATGTCGTTCAAACTTTTTGTTCATCTCTTCATGCACAGGGAGAGGATACTCTCGTCGTTTAGCCTTCGTTAGGGCACGTGCGACACAGAGACGAAACTACTCTTTGAACCCCTAAAGAAGTACGAATAACACAATAGTATTGAATCTCAAAAGCAGTCTTAAGTGTAACTGTAACTGAATGGTTCAATTATAATTATTAGTAATTTTATCAATTTTAGATCAACGCGCGCGAGAAGCGGAGGAAGCCATGCGTAAAATGGCTCAAAAAGCGCGGGAGCAGCACAGACAGCTGATCAGAACATCAACAAGTATTTTACCAGCTCTTAATGACACGAAAGCAACATCCTTGAGGGAGGCAATGTAAGTTTTTCTGAATTTTCATTCGCCTCATCATTCTCATTTTTGAGGTACAGCATTTTTCATACTTCTCGAAGGACACACGAGCGGTCAAATATTGGAAAATTCTTTTTTCTATCGTTAATCTAGCATGACCAACAGACAGCAAATCGTCCCAGATCCACATCACTCATTGCTTACGAAAACAAGTGCAGAGTACGATGCACAACACAATTTCTCGAAATCAAAATTATTATTAAAAAGTACGAGTTTTTCTAAAAGTAGCACGTCAAAAAGTTGGAAATTTTTTGTTTCTTCGTCGTTATGATTTCTACTCTTCTCTGTCCCCATGTTTTTGACAATTTTTTTAACTATTAAGTATTTTGTACTAATTAAGTGAATTCGTGTAAAAAAAACCTTCATAGAGAAGGTTTGTCTAAACCCACCACTATTGTCCGGAAAACGAAGTAAGCTGCTTCTTAGCAGTTCAGTGTCTACGAAAGCGCTATGACAGTTTGCAGCCTCGTGTCGAGCAAGCCGCCATATAGGAAAAGCCCTTCAACAAAAGTCACCTGGGCAGGAACTGGGCAGGAAAATGTATATATTAAAAAATTCAATAGGAGTAGTGGCCCCGTCTCGTCCCCCGACAATCTCAATCAAAACACGACTGCTTTAGGTTTTCTTTCCAGTCGATCCAGTGCAGGACTCGGTTGGGATCTGGCGAATTCACAGAATATATTTGGAAAGTTCACTAGGCTAACTCAGCCAATTCAAATGAGGTGCACATTTCTGTACGCATCATGAGACGCTGAACTCAAATCTGCTTTCATTATCTGCTGAACTCTTCTCTGAAAGGAGTTACGGAGGGTTTTTGTTGCGCCCTGATTTTTAGTGTCTGCTCTGCAATCACGTGTAAGCTCACTATCAACGTCACAAAGAACTGGAGGGTGAGCTTCGGTAGCGCGCTGGTAGCAGTCTTGCTTCTCAAACAAAGGGTTGCGGCGTTCCTACCGTAATTTCATGTTTTGCGTTCTCGAAGAGTTTGCAAGCAGGTCCTTTTTTGAATCAAGTTCTCGATAATTGATCAAAATTAAATAGGTTTTCCCCGTCAAATATGCAGCAGTACGCAAGCGCGGACCATGTGCAGAAGTGGCGGGCGGTTTGACAAGGTTTAGGCGCTAGCGCCTAGGTTGGAGCATTGGCGCCGCCCTCAACCCCACTTTTGTTCGCGTCCATCCTACGACGTCCATCCCGTCCTACGACCTTCCAAGCAACGCTTGGAACACTAGATGTCAATACGTTGTTCTGGAAGGTCGTAGAAGGATATTTTACGGATTTCGACTGCCAACTTCAACATCAAAGTCTATGTTACGGCCATTATCGGGAACTTTGCATTCATTCTGAGAAGAATCAAATTTCTCGAAATGGGAAAACAAAAAAAAGCAGAAATAAGCAGAAAAAATAGGAAAATAGAAGAAAATCAATTTTCACTGCTGATTTTTATGGCCGTGTCGGTTGTTGGCATGGAGCCAGCAGCTGCTGTGAACACGTTCAGACACGTAATCCTCCCAGCCCTGGCTTGTAAGTAACTAACGAAGAGAGAGGAGGTCATTATTTTGGACCTTTTCGGGGTAGTTCCTGCTTTTTTTTCTTCTGGATTCATTTAGCACCCTGAGCGTCATATTTGTACAGAAAACTCTCATTTTTTGAAGCTTGCCTTTAAGTTTGAGCATTACTTGTCTGTGAATGCCCGGTGGCGCAAAGCAGGTGCTAGGCTCTTTTATGGCGAGTTATGTACGATATTCGTGTACAGTGGATCAAATTACCCCTAAAAACGAGTTTCTCGCCAACCTGAGGTTATGAACTAATTGAGAAAAAGCGGAGCAGTGATGGGATTACCACTCCTCAAACTCCACTTTTTGGGTTGACCAATCATGGACGACGGGGGAGAGGGGAGAGAAGGGGTTGTATTTGGGAATAAGTGTGCTGTAGTTCCTAGCATTGTGCAGTGTGGGCAAGCCAGACACTAATTTTTCTGTACTGCAGTATGTCTGGAAAGTCTGTTCCAACCCAATACAAGGCTTCATAAGGACTAATGAATAAGTGAGTAATTTTTTGCTCACTTATCCATCAGTCCTTTATAAAAAACCAAATTTTCGAAGTTGAGCCGAACTTTCAGAATTGGCTAGATGTTAGTCTAAGAGGGAGTCCGACTCGCTGATTACAATTGTCACACTTGTTATAGGTGACGCCTGCGCTACAGGCGCCTGAAGTAGCCAGGAGCGATGCCGCCCCCAATTCGTTATTAATTGCCCTCAAATTCTTTGTACTGTTAACTATACGCAAGCATGTTGGACTAGCGATGTTAGGAGTCTTCCTAGCTATCTTACTGCAAACGGCAAAAGAACAAAGCTCGCCAGGGAGTTCGATCCCCTGACCTCTTTTTCGTGAGCCTCGACCACTGCCCCTGCGCTTTTCTGCTTCATAATTCCTTTCAGAGAAGAGTTCAGCAGATAAGGAAAGCATATTCTGAGCTCAGCGTCCGAATGCGCGCATGTACATTCCAGTTGGTGTGCACGCATTGCACGCGCAACATAGCTCTACGGCGATACGTGTTGGTGCGGCGTAGATTCCCAAATTTGGCCATACACTATGAATAGTTGACCTTTGAGCTACATAGATTCTATCTGCTCCATTCACCGATGGCTTCTAACCTCTTCTTTTCGTCAACCAATGTCCGCTTTTTTCCAAACTCCAGACCAGGGTCAATTGTGGCGTTCGCACATTTTCGGAAATTTTACTTCCTCCTTCCTTCAGGAGGATCTCGATGCGATCCCCCACCAGGGTCAACCCTCACGTTCTCATTTTTTCGGAAATTTTGCAACCCCTCCCCTCCTTAACAGCAACAGGGGATCTGATGTTAAGAGTGCTAGTAAGTGTAAGTGTGCTGCCAATGTTTTAATACATTCACATTTACATTTTATTACATTGCCCTTTTGATCCTCGCAATACACTTTGAATTTTTTGAAGAATTCAATTTAAAGTAATGATGCAGAACTTAAAAAATTTTCTAGATATTCTCAATTTTTTATAGAGATCATAGTCTGGCCATAAACCCATGAAAAAAGTCGCTAATAAAAAGGGAGGAGAATATAAGTCGTTTGCAGCCACAACAACTTGAAACCCACTGCCTTTGCGTTGACAGAATTGAATTCCTTCAAAGAGCTTGTTGGGGAGGGGCGAAGACATTTTTGAAGACTACGAGATTTCTGCTTCCTTATGTGTTTACCGTTGTCTGGAAGAATCGTCCTCAGAAAATTAGGTCCCGAAGAACTTTATTTTCAGCCCCGAGAAGTCAAACCTTTCATAGGGATGCATTCAACTGTTCTTTATTCCGTGAGAAAACACCGTGATTTGCCTCTGTCTCTCTGTGCATAATAATCGAATCTAATGCGGTCTCACAAGCAAGTCTTGCCCTCGGATACGCCACGCACGCGCCTGTGGCTGGCATTTGGAAGTCTATTTCATCTTGCTATGACCCGGACTTGCTCAGTTTTTTGGCACTGCTACCACGCTCTGATGCGACGAAGCGAGCTCTCCCTAAAAGCTTTGCTGAAGACAGAAAGATTTTTTACGATGTATAGTAATTCACGCGGAGAAACACTTCAGGACGAAACGGGCGAGCCTGGAAAGAATAATTATTTTGAGTTTATGACAACTTCATGTTCTTTGTGAGCGTTCCCCGTTCCTTCATCCTACCGATCAACTACCGTTTTCGGTTGCTGGTCTCCTCGAAAATGCGATCCCCTCCCTCGGCCCATGAACAAAATGCGACCCCCTGTTTGAATAGTGCAAACGATGCAAACGGACGGTTGACCTTGCTCCGGACTGCCTCTACTCGGATTTATAAATCTCGTGGTGTACTCAGCTAAACTCGGTGTATGTCCCACCCACCTTTTTCTTCCTCACCTTCCACGTCTTCCACAGCTAGTTTCGTCTTTGCTGATCCCATTGGGCCAATACCGTAGTGCCTGATCACTAGCAGAGACTTGGTCAAACGCAACGCTGATCATTGCTACTGCGCTCCTTACAAGATCCTGCATCTAATGTTCCTTGAAGCATAATCGTTCATTTTGGTCGTTGAAGTATTTTGATTTCTAGTTCGATCCCCTTGCGGGTTTCAAGTCTCTAAACCCCCTGAAATCGCAGTGATACCGATTTGACCTGGAGAAATTTGGATATGTACGAAAATTGGACAGGAATTATGGGACAACCCAATGTTAAGCTGCTCAATACAAAAGTTCGCCTATGCACAATTTCATCGACATCCAAACTGATGTGTGACGACGCTTATCTAATTTTCTTGCGAAACCGATCTTTTATAACGAACTGCCCCGCGAGTCACGTGATTTCAGTAAAAATTTGCCGAGACCTCCGAAGCCGAAATCTCGTTCAGCCATTGTGGATTGGTTCAAGCGAGATGAATGGCCGCGTGGTACTGGACAGGATCCGAAAACTAGGATGCCAGCACCATGGTTTCATGGTGAGTTTAAACGATGTCGTCACCTATTCACGGTAAACCTTGATCTTCCTCCCGACAATTTTGTTTTGAAGCTCTAAAAAATGGAGTGCAGGCCATTGAAAGCAGCAAGCATGTGCTGGAAAGATTTTTTTGGTCCATGTGGATGCTACGTCGCAGTGTTTCAAAATTTATGGATCAGTCCAGTATTTCCCCATGTTATCCGTAATCAGTTGCATACATTTCCGAGAGAGTTAATACAGCTCTCCGGAAGTTACTTGCCCTGTTATAGAAGTTCTGCTTAGTACCGTTTGCAACCCGTTCATGAAGCTCAGTGTTTTCCCGCCTAAATGATTGCGCAAGCTGCAAGTAAGTGATATCTGGGGTGAACGGGTTGCAAGCGCAGAGTAGGGGCTGAGGCATTTTTTCTCGTATTGATTTGTGTTGATTTCTGAGCGTCTAATTCCTCAATATTGCATTTGAATTTTTCTGTCAGCACTCTTCGTCAGCAAACTTACTCG